TGACCCCCAGCCACTCCAACCACTGAGTCAGCTTCATTGGAGACCCAGCTTAAATGCGTCTATGCAAACGCAGGTAGCACTGGGAATAAAGAAGAGGAGTTAGAGATGTGTGCATGCCTGCAGGGCTACGATCTCATTGGCATCACGGAGACTTAGTGGCATGGCTCCTACCGACAGAAGTGTTGGAATAGAAGCATACAGGCTCTTTGGGAAGGACAGGCAGGGGAGATAAGGATGAGGTGTCACGTCCTCTATGTCTCTCTCCAGCTGGAGTGCACAGAGCTCCACCTGGGGATGGATGAGGAGGTGACAGAGAGCTTAAAGGGAGGGCAGGAACAGATGACATCATAGTGGGGGTCCACCCGACCAGGAAGATCAAGTGGATGAGGCCCTCTATAGACAGATAGGAGCAGCCTCATGCTCACACGCCGACTTCAACCACCCTGATATCTGTTGGAAGGACAACACAGCAAGGCACAGGCAATCCAGGAGGTTCCTGGAATGCATGGGTGATAACTTCCTTCTCCAAGTGGTAGAGGAACCAACGAGGAGAGGTGCTTTGCTGGACCTTGTTCTCATCAACAAAGAAGGGCTGGTGGGGAACGTGACGCTCAAGGACAGCCTTGGCTGCAGCGATCATGAAATGGTAGAATTCCAGATACTTAGAGAAGCAAGGAGGGTGCACAACAGGTTCACTACCCTGGCTTTCAGGAGAGCAGACTTTGGCCTCATCAGGGATCTGCTTGGTAGAGTGCAGTGGGATGAAGCCCTGGCGGGAAGAAGGGCCCAAGAAAGCTGGTTAATATTCAAGGATCACCTCCTCCATGCTCAGGAGAGATGCATACCAACAAAGATTAAGTCGGGCAAGAACGCCAGGAGGCCTGTATGGATGAACAAGGAGCTCCTGGACAAAAAGGAAGCCTACAGAGGGTGGAAGCAAGGACACGTAGCTTGGGAGGAATACAGAGAAATTGTCTGAGCAGCCAGGGATCAGGTTAGGAAGGCTAAAGCCCTGACAGAATTAAACCTGGGCAGGGACATCAAGGGCAAAAGAAAAGTGTCTATAGGTATGTCAGTGATAAAAGGAGGACTAGGGAAAATGTGGGCCCTCTCCAGAAGAAAACAGGACACATGGCTACCGGGGATACAGAGAAGGCTGAGATAATCAGTAACTTTTTTGCCTCAGCCTTCACTGGCAAGAGCTCCAGCTCCACAGCCCAAGTCACAGAAGGCAAAGGCCAGGAC